CTTTTGATGTCGAAATAAATGAGTTTTTTAAACAAAAAAACCGCAGGAACTAAGTTTACCACCTAATAGTTTTCTTTTTGGAATTTCGGGAACGAGAGTCCCTCGCATTCGCACAACTCGGATCCAGAGGCGCGAAAATGTTGGACGTGCGCAAAAATCGATAACCGCCGGCACGCGCCCTTTGTGACGGGCATCTTTAGGGCCGCCACGTCACAAAATATATTATGTAGCTAATATATTATAAAGCCACATTTGTTTATAAAAGTAAAAACTGGAATGATTAATCATTCGTTATTATAATCTTTTTCAACATCATTGTATTTCTTTAATTATTTTATTTTTATTTAATAATATGTTACTAATATATTAAAAATATATTTAATTTATAAATATATTATATAACCAAAACTACATATGTCTATAAAAGTAAAAACTGAAATGATTAATCATTGGTACTTGGCGTAAATCTCTTGATATCATTAATTTTGTAGAGAGTATAAAATTTTCTTATATTTTTTAATAGATAATGCTAACGCTAAGCGCGCACTTGGCTCCTTTTATTTTTTTTGAAAAAATAATTTTGTTTTTATATCATATCCTCTTTTATAAAATAATATTAAACAAGGAAAACAAGTTTCTTTGTTAATAACTTTATACGTTGAACTTAGATATTGTAAATATTTAGGCAACATAAAAAGCAAGTTCTTTAAATTTTTGTTTCAGAATAATTCATTTTTAGAAAAAATGTGTCTCTGTCTCTCTCCCTCTCTGTCTCTCTGTCTCTCTTTCTTACCCTCTCTCTCTCCCTCTCTCTCTCTCTCTCTTATTATTTATTTATTTATTATTTTATTATTAAATTCCCACATCTATACAGTCTATTTAATTTAATAAATTACGAGTCGATAAATCATTAATCGTAAAATATATCTTCTTTTTTTCTTTTTATATAGACGTCTTTTCTTTCTTGCATTTTGTACTTTGAAAAACTGCCTGTACATTTCTAAGAAAAATAAATTTTCATCTTCATCATCATTATATATTTCATAATTCATTTATATAATTACACATTACATAATTTCATAATTACTTTCCAGCAAGAAACATAAATCAACACTAGCATCATTCTGTTTTTGTTGCATATTCTGTGTGTAACAAAGATAGGATGATTGTGACGACTTGTGTCTATTGGTTGAAACAACTTTAGATTTGATTAGATTTAAACTGTTTTGAAGTGCGCGTAAACAGAAAAAGACCAGCCCATTTTCGCGTTAATAGTATATAGTAGTGATATAACAAAATAAGTTTCGCCCCTACCAATATTAACCTTGACAACAAAGAATCGCCAAAAATCGCCTATAGTCAACCGATACTTTCTGTCTGGAGACGATGACGATCCCGCCGTCCCGTCATCTACGGAGAAACATAGTCAACTGACATTTTCTGTATGGAGACGACGATGACGACGACGTTTCTTACGTGTAAATTCCTGATTTCTGATTTTGAGCTAAGACATCTCAGCTTCTAGAACACGTAGAGAAAAAGTAAAGATAGTTTTATGAAGTAATGTAAACCCAAAGAATTAATTAAACCTATCCAGAACTTCATCCGTTCAGCCGTTACAGTCGAACGCGAAGTCTTGCCAGTGTTCCATAAAGATCGTCGCGTAAGTATACACAGTCGGCCGCGAGTCGACTTCGCGACACTACCGTGTCGCTTGATATATATATATATATATATATATATATATATATATATATATATAACTTAGTATCTTATTTGCTCTTAAAGTTATACGTATGTTTATTTAAAAAAAGTGCTATAAAAGTAAGAGATGTTTACAGAAAATTTCTTACAATAAATGTATAAATTTACGTTATAGCAACTGTTCGCAACATATTGAGATAGGCTAGAGAGGTTTTAATGACCTGCTATAATAATTTATTTTAACAATAATTCTAAAAAGAATAAGATAATTCTAAAAATAATTTCTCTTCACTTTTTCACGTAATTCTCCCTTTTAGGTAAATCTCCTTCTTAGATAATTAAAAAAAAAGAGTTTATTAATACTTACTTCGCTGAAAGTTGCGATAGAGTGTTGAATCAATTTTCCTGCAGTTATTTTAATCACAGCGCCTGATCTTGATATAATCAAGATTAAGCCAAGAGCTGTCTTGTGAGGTAAGTAATACTAATCAATCATATATGCTGTTTCCCCAACTTTTTTATACTTATAAATAATAAATTGTATTAAGCATTCATTAATATATAAAATTAAACATTAAATATTAATTTATTAATGTATTAATATCTGTCTAAGTCGATTTTGCTTTCTTACCTGTTCCGTTAAAATTTCACCTATATAGCAAAATATGAAAACGTTAAAGCTCATTGATGCATATACGATAACGTATGCCACTATAGCCGACGTATCAATTTTATGCCACCACTGAAAAAATTACAGCGCATTTTCTCTCAGGAACGTAACAGAATTTTTAAAGCGTTACTAAATAAATGTCGTCAATTAATTTCGATTACATATTCACCTTTTAAGATAATTAGCATACCGTAATGGTGTTATATCCAATCATACATAAGTTAAATGTACATCCGACTAATTCTACCAGACATATTTGATTCATAACTTTCTCGATGTACGTTATAAATCTGAAATTAATGCGATAACATCAAATATTTTTTTAAATGTGTTTTTAAACCATGTTAATATACATATGTAATTGCAACTGAATATCTAAATTTACGAACATACAATAAATTTAAAATTATGTTTTGTTTTCAGATATTTAAATTTTGCACCTCAAGACGCGCAAATAATGATCCACAATGTCAGCCATCTTCTTATTAGCCAAGTCATTTTTCTTTGCGTCCAGATCTTCGACAAGATTGTTCAGACGCAGGGTTAGGATGTCGAGTTGCCCGCACGCATGCATAGCGAAGACAGCAGCCAAGCTGCACGCGCCAACGATAATAGAATTCACTACGAAGCGAGAGAGTAGTCGCATCATCAACATGATCTCTCTCGCTGGACTGAACCTAGTGTCGTCGAATTTACTATAAACTGGACATGGTAGCTGCACCATCGGGACGTTTTTGTTACCGATCGAAACTTCTATCGTCTTCATTCCGGCAAAGATGCTGTAGATGTACAGACCGCTGTGCATGCATACCGCACAGATACCTGCCACGAAGCAACCCAGTCTCGCGTTTTTCGCCATGATGTCGCGATTCTGAGGACATCTGATGATTCTCCAATCCGTTTCCATATGTTGCACACATCGGAGTATGTCGGCGTTACGTAGAAGGAGGAAGCAATAATTCATTCCGCCCATAGACCAATGACTTAACGGACCAAATATCCGCAGTTTTAGATCGAAATTTTTCTCCTCAAAGAGGAGGTTTAATATGCAGGGCTACACGGTGAGGGCTATTAAGAAGTAACATATGAATATCAAAGCATTGCACACGGTTCTCTCGCTCTTAGGAGTCGCGGAGGATCGTGGCCATGTCCTTATCGGCTTCAAGAACCAACGATTCAGCTGCACGCTATGATGGTACAGGTCTTTAGTCCCTGACTGACACATGGTGACTACACGATGGGACAACGTGTATTAATCGACTAAAGCGACGTGCTTAGTAGTCACTACGGCGTCTGCGTGAAGATAAACGGCAGAACGAAGAGACTCCGATTGATTGACTGGCACCGTCGGACTTGTTGCTGCGCTGTCATTGTGGAGAACACGTTTACATAAATCACGTCGGTGAACTGAGTAAAGCCAACGAAGAAAAAATAATCTGTGCGTACGCAATTCATTTGTCATACATAAAATATATCATATCAAAAGGATAATTGTAGCTCATGGTAAGCAAGGATTGATTTTATAGGTAAGTTACTACAAATAGCATTTTTTTTCATAAATGTAGCTGACCCGTGATTTTCTATTTAATTTATTCTAACGATCACGTAATATTTATAACTTACAGAGAAATAGTGCGAAGCATATTTAAATACGCAAGGGATGTTTTAATTACCTGAAACGAAGAACACTTTAATTGCTTTGAAAAATATTCAGAGAATTGTGATATCGGCAACTTTTTTCTCTTTTTTTGCAGGAAATCATACAAGTATGCATACTAACGATTTTTCTAAGATATTCAGTAATTATGTGTGCAACAGTATATTTATTGCTTTTCATTTTGTAATAGACATGTAAATAGCATGTAATAATATGTGAAAAATTTACTAAATACAATCAATCAATTAATTAATACAAACTTGTACACATTAATATATCATATATTAATTATTGATTATAACTTGATATTATTTAATATATTAATGTTTTGTTTGCGAAAAGAAAAGTATATATAGCATCGTAAGTATCGAGACTTACGTCTCCAAACGTCGCTAATGATAATTCAATCAGTTTTCCAGCAGTCATCTTAATTACAGCGCTAGATCTTGAAATGATTAAAACCAGACTAAGAGCAGTCTTCTGAGGTAAACGGTACCATTCAATTAAATAGGCCGTTTCGCCGACTTTGTTACACTATACCGTTCATTTATACAATAAATTGTGGTAAGAACCATCGATGACAAACAATAAACTTGGTGAACATGTTCGTTAATGGCATTAAAAATGCAAGTACTAGATTTTCATGCAAATCGTCTGTTACCTGTTCACTGAGAAGTTCACCGATGTAGCAAAATATGAAAATGTTAAATGTCACCGACACGAATAAAATTCCGTATGTTACTAGGTTTTTGGTATCTTCTGTATCCCATTCCTGAAACATCGAAACATATAGAAACCATTTATTATTGATATTCATTAGAATATACTAATTTTTTCGATTATAATAGGATTTTTCTTTTCTTCTCATTAAATAATGAGAATAATATATAGAATTCTTCTCATTAAATAATGTGAATAATGTGTAGAATTAATTGTTACAGTTATAAACGTAAAAAAGAATGATATTCTTGCCCTACCGTGAGGGAATAATAGCCAATCATACACATGTCAAGCGTGCAGCCGACCAATTGAACAAGACATATCTGATACATGACTTGTTCAATGCAAGATACAAAACTGTAAAGAACAATACTGCTACTACGTGACCTAATCAGAGATACTCACTTATTACCCACAAACGTCACATATTACCCAGGATATCTTTTACTACCTTAGTACACGCAAATGATGCTGCACGATATTAGCCAGTTTATACTTGACCAATTTGTCTTTTTCCTCCGTATCGTCGCCGACTAACTCGTTCAACCACAGAAATAACACACTGAATTGTCCGCAGGCGTGCATCGCAAAAACCGCAGCCAGGCTGCACGCGCCTACCGTGACCGAATTGACTATGAAGCCCGATAAGAACTGTATCATGAGCACGATCTGATTTGTCAAAGTGACCGTCGTGTCGAGGAAGTTACTGTAGAATGGACACGGTAATCGAGGTATCATAATGGTTTGATTGCCAATCACAATGACCAGCAGCGACATGCTCTTCATCATGCTGTACGAGAACACACCGCAGTGCATGAAGACGGCGCAGAAACCGGCGATGAAGCGGCCGAACTTAGCGTTCCTTAACATCACCTCTCGATCCTTCACTCTGTTCACTAGCTGCCAGTCGAGCTCCATGTGTTCAATACACCGACGTATCTCATCGCCACGCAGCAACAGTGACAGGTAATTCATCGCGCCCATAAACCAATGGCTAACAGGTCCGATGGCCTTCACGCGGATGTCGACATCTTCATCCTCGAAGAAGATATACAATACGGAAGGTACTACTACAAAGGTTATCAGTGAATAACAGGTGAATTGGATACCGCGCGATAGCATCTTTTCCTTCCTAGTCGAGGTGGGCCAGATGCCGATTGGCTTTAGGAACCAGCGATTCAACTGAAGACTATAGTCACTGTACTGCTTGTAGAGATTTTTCTTCAACGGAGATTTGCGCAACGAACGAGTCATGTTTGATCTGCGAAAGCACGCGCTGCACTGACACCTGGCCGATTCCCGAGACTATTTTGCGCTACGACGAGGACTGGTAGCGCTTGCGCGGGCTCTCGCGGGTTTTCGTCGAGCCGCAGGAAAGAAATAATTTCTAGCAGATAGGCGGAACTTTACGCTGATCGATAGTTTTTTGCGACTTGTTGTAATGATAGTTGCCAACGTTACTATCTACCAATGTGGAGAGAAAGACAAAGAGGTAACACGGTAATTTTAGTACATAGCTCCGAGCTGATAGTTTATGCGCGTACTTATATTCCATCATGCGTGCAAATTTTGTTTAGACATACAATTGTATGTAATATATCTACGCGAGCATTGTTAAAGCGTGATAAAAATTGTCACGTTAATTTATAATATTAATATCTTTTCTATATTTCGCGGTTTTTTTCATTGATAATAATAACAAAGAGATTACTGAAATTTATAAAATTATTTGTTGTTATATATAAATTAAGTTGTGTCCATTTCACACTTCTTCTTACGTCCTATATAATTATAGCACGAAGTGTATTTACCCTCACTGTGTGCGAGCGCTTAAATCATTTAAAATAAAAATCTAAAATATGACGATATCTATATGATGATATCTAATGATGATATCTTATGATGATATCTAAAATCTATAAAATTGACTATGTCGGTCAGTCTACATTTGGCGGATCGCTTTTATTCTTTATTTACTAGTTGGCTCAATCATGAATAATATAGATATTTAATAGCTTACTATAAAACGAATAAGATAATCGCATCGAGATACATCGACACAAATCTAAACTAAAATTTTCTATCAAGTTTTAAATTCATTTTTACTTTAATGCTAACACAATAATCGATGTTTTTCGCATTTACGTAATTCTGCTAATTGTGCTTTTATAAAAGAATAATTCTACGTCCGCATGGAAATGCAGTAATTTCTCTATTTCGTTTTTGTTTCAAGTTTTACTACGACATCTAAAAATGTAAATATCAACATTGATATTGTTCCGCTTTCTCAATCAACACAGCGCTATTGTTGCAAAGTCGAGCATGTGCGGAGCAACACGACTGGCGAGTGAACAATATCCGTATGTTGCAGATGCTTTTTTATGAAGTTATATACGTACGTGTTATACGAAACAGCACGCAGCAAGCGCGGCTTTTTTCTCACTGCACGACCTTCTCCAACTCTCGACAACCACGTAAACATTATTTTTTCTACCACGTGGTTGCTGCACCACGCTTGTCATTCACGTTGATCAGGTAAAAACAGCATAAAAACAAACACATTTTTGCGATATGAGAGCAGATATCAACGTTTAAACTAGAACAGAGCCAACACTTAATTTTAATGTCGATGCTGCAACTTTAAATAACTATAATTTACTAATAATAACATGCAGTCTTTCTCATTTGTATTAGAATTATATATATTCCTTTCTTCGTCTCGTTCATTGAGAAAATGAGGTGACAATATAATATTCTGTAAGCTTACTTTATGATTTGGTAATTATTTATTTTAGAGGACCCAGCTTGATCTTGATCTTGATATATATTATTAAGGACCCTCTGCTAAGTAACCTTCAGAAGGTTTTAGCCGGACGCTCGTAATTTATTAAAAAGTTATTGACAAAAGAATTTATATATATGTGATCAACTCAACACATTTGTATATCGTTATACATAAAACCATGTATATCGTTATACATAAAATTGGAATACGATTTCTTGCTTCTGATATTATTAAATAAAGATAGCAAGTTATCATAATATAACACGGTCGGCCGCGAGTTGCTTTGCGCTAGCACTTGGCTTCGCGACACTCCCGGTCGCTTGATATGTGCTAATCGGGACACTCCCGCTGTCCCGCCATCTAACAGAGAAATATAAGGCGATTTTTGGCGATCGTCTGGTATATGTACCAAAGTGTACCAAAGTATACCAGGAC